AAACGTTGACCAGACGAGGCCTAACACTGTTTCCAGGCGCCAGTTATGAAAGCACTTCCTTGACGCATTCGGGACCGCTACAAAGCTGGCAACAGTCCTCATTTCAATGCCGCTGTATAACGGTAGCGAGAAGTTTTAAACCAAACGGCCTACATGTAACAAACGAGCACTGTGAATGGCTCTTGATGCAGTTTTGATCAGCATGGCCATTGGAGCAATGGCACTGATTGAACACGCTCAATAACCGGTTTCAGTTGGCAATAGATGAGGCGGTGCGTAATTTATGAAAGCAATGTAAAACGACGGTACCACTACAGTTAACATGTTGCTACTATAATAAAACGTAGTTCATTTATAGTATGCATTACAGAGCGATAAAACGATGGTCTCATTTCACACTAGTAAAAACTGCCGACCTTATGAACACCGCCACACATTACATCGTTTCAAAACCACGCTCAAGGCACTCTATCGATCAGACTCCCCAAAATCCTTGCTATGATCTCAGTGCCATGATCCCTGTCATGATTCGTCTTACCCCCCCCCCCCCCCCCCACTCTTCCCAGCACCTGACGGCGAACGATATCGCCGTACCGACTCGGTCAGTGTCGCCATGGCAACCAAGACCAGCAGCTGACAAAAAACAAACAACGTCACAAAGGTGCCGAGATGACGGCTTAAGGTCAGAGGTCGCAGCTGCTTGGTGTGCTGAGTATAAGTGCATTACCCTCCCGTGGGGGGGGGGGGAGGGATAAGGTCGATGAGGTTACGCTCAAACATTTGACCTTTGGCCTTTGATGAAGGAGATGAAGCCAGGTCGCAGCTGCATGACGCGGCCGATATTTCAAAGGAGCGGAGCGGTTTCTGAGCGGAGGCTCGGGCAGAGTTAACGTCATAGTGCCAGTTTAGCAAACTTCAGAGACAAAGTATGAAAAGCTGCGGCGGGTTGTTGTTACCGTCATTTTTGATGAACCGTGGATAAATGAAAATACAAGTTAATGGGTTTACTAGTGCTCAAAGAGCCGACCATTGAACTATAATCGACTTTGGTTGGAGTCTTACAAATAATTTCAGTTCAGAATAGAAATTTAGGTGACAGGGTCAAATGCCAAAAAGACCAACTCAATCAAATGAAGCAATTCTCTAAAAAACGGATATAGACGGATGCCATGTTCGGTAATGGTAAAAAAAAATGGTGAAAATAGCATACTGAAACAATCACCAGTTGGCAAACTCATCGCGCCTCCGTCTGGCTAGCTAATCAGGCGACGACTCCATTGACAGCTGGTGCTCTTACCCGAACTACTACTTCAACAACCTCGCTATAGATGTCGCGCGAGAGGGGATACATGCGAGTTGCGATGTCTGGCGAGAACTCATCGCGATGACCACTGATAAGGCAAACGATTTCTTATTTACCTATGCCATCCCATATATGACAAAGCTATATCTGGAAAAAAAAACTGTCGGGCTCTACCCACAAGATGCATTTTACTATGCAGCCTGTCCCCAAAAGACATCGCTTATGGGCCAGAGAACCTATCAGACCAAGCTGGAACCCAACCGTTCCATGCTTCTATCCTCAGGATACGGAAATCCTTCTCCTCCACGCCGCAACCCCCCTCCGGGCTGGACAGGCAACTTTATCTCATGCGGGCTGCTCCCTTGGAGCGGCACCGCTGCTCCCGAGGGAGCGCACCCCGTAGCCGGGTGCAGTGAGTGCCTTGGGGCTGGGTGGCCTGTCCTATGGACGGGCTCAGCCCCGGCGACTCACTAGGGTGCCTGTCCAGACCAATGTCTCCCCCTATATCCTATCATCCTCCCGGCTCTGAAATGGTCTCATTGGACCGAAAGGGCCTAACCCAACAAAACAAACAAACAAAACAAACAAAGCTGGAACCTATCAGACCAAGCTGGAACCTATCAGACCAAGCTGGAACCTATCAGACCAAGCTGGAACCTATCAGACCAAGCTGTATTGTATTGTATTGTATTGTATTTACGATCATGGGCGATCCACACATGGCGTGGCGATTACTGCCCAGAGTCTGTGTCGGGTATATGCATGCAGGAACAAAGATCAGTCAAAAACAACACACACACACACGCACACACAGGAAGACTATATGCACGATTTCTAACATACCGTGTACTTATATACAAGACGAGTGCCTAATTCAGGTTATCACGATGGTCTATCGTTTTCCACAGAGACTTGACAGCGCGTGCGAATTTAGAGGGTGGCAGCTGTGAAAGTTCGGGAGGTAGGTCGTTTAGGAGCGCGGCGGCACGGTAACTGAAACGCCGCTTACCGGTTTCTAGTCGGGGACGCTGGAGCTGGAGAAGGTTATCCTGACGTGTATTTCTATCCCTGGTTGAGGAGTCCCGGTTTCTGGCAAACATAGAGGCAAGTGCTACCGGTTCGCCGTAGTGTATCGCCTTACGTGCAGTGGCCATAGTTTGAAGTTTGTACATATATTCGGGCGGCATCCAGTTGAGTTTCTCGCGCAGGTCAGTGACGTGGTCGAATTTGCGGCGGCCAAAAATAACTCGAGTAGCGAAGTTCAGGATCTTTTGGAGTCGATTCAGGTTCTTTTTTGTTCCATTTCCGTAAACTGAGAGGCAGTAATTTACTCGGGAGATGACTAGAGCTGTAACAATGGTTTTGATGACCCCATCGGGAAGACAGTGCCGCACATGGGAGAGGCCGATGAGCAGGCCCATACACCTCCGGCTGAGCTCGGATACATGGGCTTCCCAGGTCAGACAGCTGTCAAAGACCACGCCGAGGTTTCCTGCCTGCGCACATGGTTCCAGCTCCGCGTCACGAAACGATACGACGACTGGGGGCAAGTGTTTTAGATTTTGACGGCTGCCGAATATCATAAGTTGCGTTTTGCTCGCGTTAACCTTCAGGGCGTTTGAGTGGAACCATTTGTTCAGTGCTTCTAGTGAGGCCTCCATGCGCAAAATAAGGCCACTTACATTGTTTTTTGGACCACTCACTAGAAGCTGGGTATCATCTGCATATTGGAAAACGCATGCATCATCGGCGTGAAGCGCCAAATCGTTTGAGAAAATCGTGAATAAAAGAGGACCCAGGGCCGAGCCTTGAAACACGCCCATAGTGTTAGGGAGTGGTCGTGACAGTACCCTGCGCTGGAGTCCATCGGTCATTGAAACGCTTTGTGTGTGACCTTTTAGATATGATTTAAACCAAGGAGTTTCGATGCCGTACAGTGCGAGTTTGTCGAGAAGGAGTTTGTGATCTATGACATCGAAACATTTGCTAAGATCGATAAGGCATAGGAAAGATATTTCTCCCCTGTCCGTGGCCGCTAGGATGCGGTCGGTGACGGACAAAAGTGCTGTTTCAGTTGAATGCTGGGGTCGGAAGCCATGCTGACTAGATGCCAAAAGGTAGTTTTGAGAGAGATAGTGTTGTAGCTGCTGCTGGATGACTCGTTCAACAACTTTCATGATAACTGGTACTAGAGAAATGGGTCGAAAGTTGCTGGGGTCAGATGGGTTTCCGGATTTGAAAATGGGATGGACTATGGAATGCTTCCATTGGTCGGGGATGTCAGATTTCGAGATGCAGGTGTTTACGATGTGCTGTATGACGCTGCCAATAGCCAAGAAACTGGTTTTTAGCATGCGGATGCACACACCGTCCGCTCCGCAGGCGGCTGAGTTCCGCATTCTGAAAACCGTGCATTCGAGCTCACCGAGAGAGATAGGCCTCGGCTGAAAACCGCATGCGCCGACGCGTGGCAGCCATGCGTTTGTGTAGGTACCTGTGTTTTGGTTTCGGATCTCGGTAGCAATACGGGGGCCTACGGATACGAAAAATGAGTTTAGTTCGTCAGCGGTTACATCGGGTTGAACTGTTTTGTTTCCTTTTTTACCAGCTATGACTGATTTGATTCCCTGCCACACCTTGTTGGGGCCACGTTCGCTAATTTCCCGCTGAATCACGTTGCGCCGGTCACGGCGAACGGCAGAACGAACTGAACGATTCAGGTCTTTATAAACTGTAGATGCCCGACCATGCAGACGTAGTGCGGCGCGCCGTTGGGCCATGATATCACGGGTGGAGGCTGAGACGGGGGGAGCGGTGGGGTTTCTAATGGTCAGGTTCTTTAAAGGGGCATGGTCATCTAGGACAGGTAAGAAATTAGTCAGAAAAGCTTGCCATTTGTCATGCACGGTCATTGCAGTGAACACTTCGTCCCACTCGATGGACATCAAGTCATGATTTAGGGACGCGACATCGACACGGTTGATTGAGCGGGTAGTGATGACAGTTGCAGTTTTACGCTGTTTAGGTACGTTGACTAGCACGTTTACCAACTTGTGTGGGCTGAAGTGACAGTGTTTTACATGACAGTCGAGCACGAGTTCACGGGTTTTGACAATACATACGTCTAGGAGCGAGCCGGAGCTGTACGTGGGTGCAGTTACCAGTTGATCGAGAGAGTAGTCCGATAAAAAGTCGCTTAGGTGAATACGCGCGCGGAAACTCCGGTGTTTCAGCAAATCGCAGTTTAGGTCGCCGCAGATGACAAACGGAACCTTGGGGTGGTCGATCAGGATCCGTTGCAGCTGAGACTCGAGATCGTTGAAATCAGCGCGTAGGGCAGTGTCCGAGTAGCGGGGCGGTCGGTAGAGCGAGCAGACAATTAGCTGACGATCTTTCTCCAGTTTTAGGAGGATCCACTGGGATTCAAGCTGACTCTCACGGCACGGCGGAACTGTGAGTTTTAGCGCTACAGAGGTGATGGAGTTTTTGGTGGCAATGGCGACTCCACCGTAGCCACTGCCGTCGGGACGATCCTCACGTCTGAGTGAGTACCCGGGTAGCACAACTAGCCGACTGGGCGTGCTGGGTCGCAGCCAGGTCTCGGAGAGTAGGAGAACGTCGAAAGCTGGAACCTATCAGACCAAGCTAACATAACCTGGGTCACCTAGCCTAGCTAATGTCAACCGTGCTATCTCACCTCCTCTGGCGGGCCCTGGTTGAAGCCGCCCCGGCCGCCGCCACGTCCACCCCGACCGCCGCGGCCTGGAGACGACACAGTGACGTCACACGCCTGTCGTCATGACGACGGAGTGACATAACCGCGTGTCTGAACTATAATATCTAAGACTATTGTAAATCAATGCAGTCATGATACACTAGCTAGCTACACTAGACTAGCTAAATGTGACAATGAATGAATGTTAAAGGAGAAGCCAAAGCTACCCAATACCCCAGTGATAAAAATGTAAAATAAAATGACATTTTATGCCATTAATTAAGTTTTCATGCAATTAGGAGAAATGCCTCAAGGTTTTAAGAAAAAATATGAAACACATATCATGCACATTGCACAGTAAAAGTTATTTGACAAGGTCACAACAACAGCCCCTCATTTATTGTCTCCATGAAACAGCAGGGCACAAGTTGGTCATCTCACCTCTGTCACCCCCAAAACCTGCAACAAATGGAAAAAGGACGTCAGGGAACAAGTGTGGCACAGATGGTGTAAAGAATATATTGCCTGGCCAACTAAGGGTCTTATTTGAACATAACTTCAGGGGGATAGGATTACCAAAGTAGGCGCAGTGTCCCAAAATTTGTACACCTTTTGTCAGTTAAATTCGGTGCGTAATCGTCCATTTTAGAACTAACGGAATGTGTGTAGACATACCGCAAAATTATGTACAAGAATCACATAATATCTCGGCGCAGGTCAGGCAGTCGGCGGTAAAGCATTCAATTTCGGCACAGCGGCAAAACGCTCCATTTTCGGCGATAGCGCGAGTAGAATCGGCTGCGCCAGCATAGGTTTAGAGGTAGCGCACGCTATTTAGCAGCAGTAAGAACCAAATTCGGCACTGTTCATTCAATTTCGGCGGGTAACCGGAGGCACTCAGATGATTCATATTTTCGGGAACGCTTCCTTAGCATCAAATGAATTTTCATACAGCTTTGTAGCTTTGAGATATTCTCAGGGGTAGAAAAGCAGGGCATTGCTTGTTTAGCGTCACAGTACCTACCTAAGATCGTTTCGCTGTTTCCCGTTTCGAATTCTGATGTGAAAATTGATAAGCTTTACTGAGTTAGTACTATTTATCCTAAACAAATAACATCTGTGGGCTGGTCTCTTTTTTATCGACAAGGCAAACGCCAATCGTTGTTGAACTCGAGGCAAACCCCGACCTCATTCATTGAAGCACGTCTGTGCTGTTGTCACTGTGTGCCAAGTTTTTGTCCAACACATGAGCCCATTTTACCAAAAGACCTGTTATTTTACTTCGCCTTGAAAGCAACCCATCACCTCGTCAATCACACATAACACAATTATCTCCACCATACCAGAATGAGTCCTACCAATCGGTTATCGTTGCACTTCCTGTTATCATCTCCTATTAATCAATTGCCAGCGTGAAACATCAAACATCCCTTACCTACTGTGTGCAAAAGGACACGAAAATAAATTCAGCATTCCGTATCGTATCACCACGCGTCCCCTCACCCCGCCCTACCGCCATGAACACCACCAGAGGCTTAGCGCCAACATTCTAACCCGTCCCATGGCAAGACTCGTAGTTGCGGCAGGTGTATCTCCTCCCCCCCCCCTCCCCCTTCCACACATCAAACAGCATCTGACCGTCCATCCGGCGCTCGTCGCATCCTTTCAACAACCGCGCGACGACACCGGGCGTCTCTGGCGCACGGGCGGGGTCAAAGTTCAGTAGTCGCGTACCCTGTCGGCCTGGTTTTGTTCTCCGCCGCCTTCGTTTTAAGCAGGTGCCTATGCACTTATGTAAGTACTTCCTTGGTAGAAATTAATAGGTATGTACATTGTAATGTTTTGTTTAACCCACATAAAGCACGAACATGAAACGATGCCCATCGCTGACGAATGCGAATGAAATATTCGGCCATAAAGGAGAGGGTGGAGGGCCGGAGGCATGCACATTGCACAAGTCCAGACAGTGGGACAGTGTCAACAGTAAACACCTTGAAAAACGTTTGACTTAATAACAATGCTCCAACAAGCTCATTTTGTAAGCGAGAAGTCTCTGCCTGCTTTCAAATAGCCGCCGAAATTGAATGAATATCGCCGAATTTGGTTGCTGCTGTTCTAAATGTCGTGCGGCCGTTTCCAATTACCACCGGCATCACCGAAATACAATGCGGATACGCCGAAACCGGGCGTCTTTTGCTGCTGCGCCGAAATTAAATACCTACTCTAATGCCGATCATCGCTATAAACGGCCGACATGCAATGCTATACTGATACATAGCTTTGCGGTTTGTCTACAAATAATCCGCTAGGTCTAAAATGGACGCGTACGTACCGAAATAAACTGACAAAAGGTGTAGATGTGGGTGGGAAACGACATCCAAATGCAAATCATTTTCCACTCTCACCTCCAGTTTTCAAGCCCAATTTTCCACTCCCAATTCCACCGAGAAGGAGCAATTGCGGGAATGATTGTTTTACATCTGTCACAATTGTAGATAGATTCATGTTTTTGATCATTTTCCCACTCTTTTTGGGCCTTACCTGACCGACAATTTTTCACTCTCATCCTTTTTTTTTTTGGTCAGCAATTTTCCCCTCTGACACCCAAGTAAAAATATGATTTTGGTACACTGAGTAGGGTTAAATAATGCATGATTAAAATGTTATAATGTTAAGCTGTTTATAAACACCTGAGGATCTGATTATCCACTCTCCAGTGCACCAGTTTTCAATTAGACTCGAATAATCAGTTTTCAATAAAGACTTCAGACAGGTTAAAGTTTAAATATTTATTCACAGTGAGATAAAAGCATAAGTGAGTGGTACGACCATCTGGGTGTCAGTGGCATACATAAGCTTAAATTCCTCAATTGGTATATAAGTATAGCACTAGAGTTAGCATACTAAGTCAGCCTTTATTCGACACTTACCTCTCCCTCTGCCTCCAAAGCCACCTGGAGCAAAGAAAAACCAAAAGGGTCAGCTCAATGAAATCAAAACATAACTGCAAACATTGGTGGCATTATGAAAAAGGGGTTGACATTCCAGACATGCATCTTCATCACAGGGCCTCGGCTAAGGAATTTTGACTGGTGGGCCACTTGGGCAGCGACATGGACTGACCTTCGTAGCCATATTTTCGTAGCCCCCCCCCCCCCCCAATTTTCGATTTCTCCCCAGATTTCGGCCACTTTATTCTGCAAAAAACGTCAGGATGGCATTCAAAAAATGTATAAAAAAACGGGGCTCGACCCCCCCCCCCCCCGACTCTTCAGCGAGAGAAAGAGAGGAGAGAGTAGGGACCCACAACCCTCTCAGTGGTGATACTCCCGCGGTGCACATAAAATCGCACAAGCACGGAATATATAGTCTACGACATATCGAAGTACATATCGACATATCGACATGTAGACTATATATTCCGTGGCACAAGTATGCACACAATATTGACGCAGATTTTAAAACTTTGGACGATAACTTACGGCCGTGAGTGGATCGCTCGCCGACTAGTCGGAGAATCGAAAGCGATCGGACGCGATCGGGCGTTGTTGGGTACACACAGAAAAATATTGACACCGTTAGCGGTGTAATTGCACAGTACATATCTGAGCACTTGAGGAAAGTTAATTTAGTCCCTTCCCCGCTTAAATTACTCGCGCTTCTAAATGAACACCAGGAAGAAGGTAATAGAACACTGTTAGGAGGGTTGGGTGTTTTACTACATGTAGCAAAACACCCAACCCTCCTAACAGTGTTCTATTACCTTCTTCCTGGTGTTCATTTAGAAGCGCGAGTAATTTAAGCGGGGAAGGGACTAAATTAACTTTCCTCAAGTGCTCAGATATGTACTGTGCAATTACACCGCTAAAGGTGTCAATATTTTTCTGTGTGTAGATCGGGAGGAACTGTGAACAGCACGAGTGCAACTTTATATATAAAGTGGGTTGTAGCAGGAACCCCAAAAGGGGGTTGTAGCAGCAACCCCAACATCTCTGAAAATGATCATTAAGCCTATTGGTGTCGCATGGAAAATAATTGCCTCAAAAGCCCAAGCGCACTGCGCAACCCTGATATTTTCTTTAAAAAGAACTAAGTTATGTACACTTTCACTTCTGGTGAACAGTGTCCCAAACTTCAGATTTCTCTTGGGTGTCTGAGTGGAAAATTCGAGCCGCCAAAATGTGAGAGTGGAAAATTATCCATTCTTATTCTTGAGTGTCATCTTCAGCCCAAATGAGAAATTTTTGGAACGCTGACTGTGAACGGCTCGAAATTCGTCCAACTGGTCAGATGTGTGACTGCAAGCATCATACCGGTCGTAAAGACGCATAATATCGCTTGCAGACTTCAATCGGCTGGAAGTCGCCGACACTACCTCTAGTTTGACTCTGGCTTATATCGTGTCTATCGGCGAGCCGTCTGAGATCGCTCGCAGGCTTATCCCCGACCGTCTGAACTGGACTGTTCTTTATTCGTAGTTTTTCTTGTAACCGACTGGTCTGCGGCAGATGCTTATGTGACTGCAACCACTCGATCGATCGGAAAGCTTACAAGACCTCTTGCAGACCTCGATCGGCTGGAAGCCGCCGACACTATCTGTAATTGACAGAGGCAGACGTCTTTCGCGATTATTGCATAAAATTTAAAGCCTCGGTCACACTTCACCGGATTGGACCAACGGACGAGAAGCGGACGAGAACTGTCAGCGTCCGGTGATGTCCGTTTGTTTCCGTTGAACGTCCGTTTGTCATCCGTTAATATCCGTTCCATGTCCGGTGGTGTCCGGTTGAGCACACCGGACACCACCGGACTTCGTGCTTGTATATATTCGGATATGACATGGAACGGATATGAACGGATGAGAAACGGACGTCCAACGGAAACGAACGGACATCCCCCGGACATCACCGGACGCCGTCCGATTCTCGTCCATTGGTCCAATCCGGTGAAGTGTGACCGAGGCGTAGTCCACTTAGTCCACTATAGTTCACTTTTTACCCCAAGAGGATATTGCAAACAATAGGTTGAATTTTTTCACAAGAATATGTTTCACCGATGGGTACTTTACAGCCTGAAAATGTACGATAAGATCTGCTAATTCAATTTGAAATGTGAAAAATGTGGAAACTTTGATTTTTCGGAAAATTACTGGTGGGCCAAATCTTTAGGCTGGTGGGCCATTTCGGGTCACTGGTTGGCCCACCAGTTAACATGTTAGCCGAGGCCCTGCTTCATCAAATCCCTGATGAATAAAAATAACTTCAATCCAAACTCCTGCAAATGTCTGGACTTCAAAGTTGAAACAAACTCTTAACAAGATCATTAAATATCCAGCAAGTAATGCCCAATCACTCACCTCTGCCGCCTCCCCTATCGCCATAGCCCATTGTGTGCTTCTGTGTCTGTTATTGAGGCTGAAACAAATAAAACAAACTCAAGACAAAATACAATAGCTTCATGGGAGAAGACTGATCATTTCAATTTGTGTACGACTATTTTGGCATTCCATTTCATCTGTCAAAACACCTAGGGCATCATCTCAATTGACGTACTGCACACCTAAGAATGCACCAAGGAAGTCTTTAGTAAACCAGATATTTTAGAACAAGCAACCCACCCAACACTTTTTGAGAGGTCTGTGCAAGAACATAATCAACCCAAACCGAACTGAAGAACCAGTGCGTGATGAATGAGCCTACATATTGATATTCTGTCTTCTTTGTAAGGTATCTTTATCCGAGGCTATATAAAACAAGCTTTCATCCCTTCTAACAATTAACAGAATTGGACTACTCTCCAGCCTTGATGCATTTGGGTTTGAGAGCAGACTTGCAAGACTGAAATTTAAATGAACCTTGACCTGTTGAGTTTCCCTCACACACTGACACCCGGCCATTGTTAAAGGAAACAGTTCACTTTCCTGAAATTAGTATTTTGCTATGGATTTATGATTTGTTATGCTCAAAATGATCAGAAAATAAAATAACACCTTTTTGTAAAAACAATTATTTTCTATATTTTAATATAGGACGAACTATATTCTATGTAAAATAATGTTTGACGCGGAAGCTTATTACGCGTTGACCAATCATATTGCGTAGTTCAAACCTACGCATGCTGCATTGGCTGTAAGCAGCATGCTGATTGGCTGACGACAGGGTTGGCATTTTTGCCGGCAAAAACTAGTTTATGCCATTTGCCGGTTTAAAACCGGTTTTAACCAGCAAAAAGTGGCAAAAACTGGCAAAAACTAAAAACCAGCACAATGATATGCCTAGACATGGATTTAAAGATGAAACATTTTTAGGAGAATTCGGTGAAAGCTTTATGCTTTCAACCAGAAGTGACATTGAGCGTTGAAGTGTTCTATAACTCAAAAACATTTTCATGGGCTTTCCATAAGGCGCCTTTTGGGGGTGACAAATGAGCCAGTGCAAGAGTGAGTCCTGCACAATCAGAAGTGCGAACTGCGAAGGGGTATCTGCCACTGATATACGCACTGCACCCTACCGTGGCAGCCTTGCCCCACTCCCCTACATGGAAATACATTCTGTGGTGGATGCCTACTGACATGCATAGACATTTTAAGCAGGGATAAGTAATGAGGCAAACTTCAGAATGTTTGGTGCATCTCTATAACATCAAGAAATGCATTTGTACATTTCAGATCCATTCCTAACTAGAAAAGTTGTGGTTTGGCCCACCTGAGTTTTATCCAGTTTTTGCCAGTTTTTGCCACCGGGGTTTCTGCCAGCCGGTTTAAACCGGTTAAAACCACTGGCAAAAACCAGTTTTTGCCACCCCCTGCCAACCCTGGCTGACGATGACGTGGCTGCATTCCTGTGCAAGGCACACATTCCTCTGCAAGGCACTCTTTTCAGAACGAGAAATGGAATATCTTCGTCTAGGGTGATCGTTGAGCCGTAAAAGCTCCTGATTTGTGCTAGTCTCAGCTCAAGCTACGAAACTGCTATTCCAGTTCAAAACCCCATGTTAAAAGTGAACTATTTCGTTTAAAGATCAGAAAACAATAGCAATACACAAATGGTCCCATGCATAAGACGCTCACCAATGCCGTTGGAATAAATACCAAGTCAAAATTCGTATCTGGTGTAATTGTAATGGGCCTCTTATTGAAATATGCACATTGACATGAAAAAGTTTTTAACTTTTTTATCTTGATCTGGAAACCAAGGCCTAGAAACACGCACGGCGCGCACGCTAGTTTTACGCGCCACGAATGTCTGAACTGCGCTGGCGTGCGAATTAATGATTATGAAACCAACCACCAAATAAAACTAATCTAGTCCACATATTTTTCAATCAAGATAAATGATAATTATGCATTACCAACGTTTTATCATGATCGACGATATAACAATAAAACCGACATGACTTGATTTTGAATTTATACTTACATAAAAGTTGCGATTCCATAAACTAAGGGTTTATTTCAATGTCACTGATTTTCATCAGACTGAGGGTCATTGACCACTATTCCCAGTGCCCAAAATACACAAAATACCTACACAAAATACACAAAATACACAAAATACACGCAGGCTCGGTGGTGCCAGTTGTGGAGTGGCGCGCTGGAATAGGGTACGATTTTGATCCTACATAGGATCGAAAGCGTTCTTTTTTTAGTTATAGTTGAATGCATGATACCTAATTTCCGTTCCTAACGTCATGGCCTCATGGAACTATCCATAATCCAGTCACGTCAAGCGTTTAATTAGACGATACGATGATACGAAGATTTACCCTCTCAGATAATCGGCAACCAGGATGACGACTACGTAGTACGTTGGCCTACACTGCAAACAAAAATCAAAGAATGCTTGGTAAGTTGAGTGGACACGCGAGCGGCGAGAGGGTGCCCCCCCCCCCCCCAGGGCTATAGGCAATGCCCATTGGACATAACAATCCAAACTTGACATGCACCCTGGACGGTGGCCTGACTAGAGCAATGAGGAAAAGGGCATAGGTACCTGTAGCTCGCACGCGTGCCCCTGGCCAAAAGAACAAATGAAGCATGCCACTAGAATTAGCTCGTATTCGATTCCAGATTCAAATTTTAGAAACGATTTCGCCCGAAATGGACACATAGCCCACATACCACTATTCCAGGAAAGCTGGATCCACCAATGGTGTTGGTAACTGGTCTCTAGGATCAGTGAAAAACAGCATTTCAACTTCAAGCATTCAAGGGGTCGGCGGCCTCTCATGATTTATGGGGAATTAACCATAGTCCACAACACATTCAGTAGGAAAGATTACCAGGTAGGACTAGGAGCAAGGTGATATTACTTTTCACCTTTCAGAGATGAGATTGATAAGGTAGATATGGATTATTGACCTGCCCCTGAACACTGCACACTGAATTGTTTCACTTTCAATGCACGGACATCAATAACCATTACCAGTCGACAAATCAACGAACAACTTCACCGACACTTCTGACATGAGCATTGAGCATCATTCATTCGTGATTCGATATCATTCGATGACAACCGATCCGAGCGATACCGGACGGTGCCGAGTGCGCAGACGGTACAGACGAGCATAGACCCGGGAACAGGGGGGGCAGCGGGGGCGCTTGCCCCCCCAACTTGAGAGCCGAGGGGGCGGCGCCCCCTCAACATTGAGGCGGCGAGAAAGGATCTTTCCTCACTTTTCTATACTTCTTTCCTTCTTGTTTCCTTTATGCATCTAAACATCAACACACGGCATTTTCCTTGCCATCTGAGTTGTTTCTGTTGATACAGTATCGATTTGACAACATCTGCTATTGTCATCCCGCTTTGGTTTGGGCCTGACCTTCGCCATAAGTTTGGCAGACCATATTTTATGCTGGACCATTTTGAGTCAACTTTGAGAAATATGCACGTAACGTACAACGGTGGTAAAATCGTTGCTATAGGCATAACACAGTTTACACGCTCCGGGTGTGAGGGAGGGGTGTGGGGCAATGAGTGCACTTAGGTGGTGCCCTCGGAAGGCCGGTATGGGATAAAAGCTCAGCGACACTAAGTACTGGTGTGGTGCCTTCGGTTATCGGTAGCACCCTCAGAATCACCGGCGTAGGGCCCTCAGAGCCGCCGGTAAGGGGCCTTTAGAGGCACTGGGCCGTCATGCAGGTGCCAGTGTGGGCGCTCAGAGGTGCTATTGGGATTCTCTCAGAGGCGCCGGTGAGGGTCCTTACGGGCGTTGCTGTGGGCCCTCATAGACGCTGGTGTGGAGCCGTTACAGACGGGAGTGGGGCCTTTAGAGCCGCTGACGCGAACCCTCTACAAGCCGGCAGGGGGTTCTCAGTGACCGGCAAGGGGCCCTTAGGCCGGCAGAAGAAGTTTTGTGGGGCCCTTACTTAGAGACCGGCATGGTACTGTCAGACGCCGGTGGGGCCCTCAAAAGTCATCAATGGGTGGCCTTTAGATGCGCAGGTGTTGGCCGTTGGGTCCTCAGAGCCACCGATATAGGACTTTAATAGGCACTGGTGTAGGCACTCAGAGTTGGGCGTGTGAAACCCTTAGAGACACCGGCACCGCTGTGGGCCCTCACAGGCACCGATGAGTTGCCGTTATTCCCCAAAGCTACCGTTATTCAGCCCTCAGAAAAATGAGTGTGGGACCATCACATGTGGGAAATGCCCCTAGAACTGGCCCCTCATAGGCCGATAAGAACTCTCAGAGGCCAGTAACGGCCTTTGGAGACCACCGAGGGACCCTTAAAGCCGTAAGAGGTCCTCAGAAGCCGGAGTGGGCCCTTATGGAGATCTTAGTGTGGCTATTTAGCGCCCATGAGGTGTTCTAATGAGCCCCATGGGGCCCTTCTGAGTCGAAATATGGTCATCGTTAACCTTCAGCGGTCAAATGGCGCCGGTCAAGAGCCCCTCGGACCCGAGGGTCCCTTTGAACCCAATGGGGGGGGGTTACGTGTCCCCTAAGAGCCCCAGCTACGCCACTGTTTCATATGCATCATGTCAGGTATTTTAGGCTCGCCCCCCCCAACTTGAAAATCGTTCCCGGGCCCCTGCAGACGAGGGACGGCAGCGACTCGACACATACGAGCCACTCCAAAGACCTGTCGTCCGGCACTGTGCTGCAGACATCAGCTTCGACGGACATCAGTCAACACAGCTATTCAGAAATGTTTCATCGGTATCCTTGGAGAGCACAAAAAGGCGACGACGCTCTTGGAAGAACGAGGAGTGGTTTCATTTCTATGGTTTTATTACAAACGAAATCATTTAATATTGGTCTTATGATCTGACGAAGATGTAGGTATAGCGATGACAGGTAAATGGGTGATTCTATACTTTGCCCTTTACTCATAGTCACAGAGCACAAAGAAACGGCGAGCAGAGATGGGGCAACGCGCACAGTTGCCCGCACCTATGTACATCAGCAGAGGTTAATACATCGTAATGTAATAGTACCGCCGGTCAGAGTCGACAGTTCTGACCGGAGTCAGAGTAGGAGTTAGGGTCGATTCAGTGGCGGATCTAGGATTTGAGTTTAGGGGGGGGGGGGGCAAACATTGCGCCGCCAGGCAAGTCGGCGAGAATTTCAAACGTCCAGTCTTAGGAACAAAAAAAAACGAGCTACCCCTATTTTTCTCCTCGGATTTCGGGATTTTTTTTTATTTTTTACATTTTTGTCAGTCCGGCCAAGCCAGGGCAGCGCAAAAAAAAATTTGCAGCCACCCTGACCCCGGGAGATAGTTAGAGAATAGCTCACCGGCGCTATGGACGGTCCGTCCTCTACCTCCCGCATCACCTCGGCAAGACCTCGTCCGAAAGGTCCGCCCGCGCCGGTTCTCAAGGGCTTCTGTATCCGGAGACAGATAAGGGTCGCAGCAGCAGGTTCATGTGTAAATGCCCACGACCAAAGGCCACATCAGCGTACCTGCGATACTATACGCAGTCAGGGTTGCCACGTAGTTAAACGTGTTAACAGTTGTTTCCGGTAATAGAAAATGAGATCAGTCGATTAAGAATCCCAACAAGAGATAGACGAAGAACAGCGCATTTGTTTTCGGTCCTGCATTTATTGATGCAATTACAATGAACATTCCTTAACTTTGGGACTAAACTTCGCGAGCTAGCAAAATTATACAATAAGTGTTACTTTCGAGAGGAGATAAACGATGCTTCTACAGACTGCATAGGACCACAGCGCAACAGCCAACGGAATCACACTGAACAGCGTTAACATACTGAGCTTCTCCAACACCTCGCAAACCAAAAGCTCTGACTGAGCCTTTCTGTGTTTGTCCCCGTTAGATAACGGTATGGCTCATGAAAAAGCCGCGATTGGTAATCTTCTTTACGTTATTCCTCTCAGAAACCCATCTCGCACTTGTTCTCAAAGGCACGCAGTACACCGTTCTTTCTGGCCATCACTGAGTGACACAGCGGCAGTAGCTCAACCATATCGTTCAAACTGAGTTTGGCACCCCCTTTCGCTCCTCAGTCCTGCATACACATATGCAGCTCTTGTAGAGACTCTCGGACTTTGGCACCCTTTTTGGCACCCCCTTTGGAAATGGCTGTATCCGCCTCTGGACATAACTAATGTAGCCACAGTGGAAATGCTAGGTACTAATGATATTTAGACCCACCAATATTTTTTCAGCTCCTACACCCATGCTATCTAGCAATAAAATATTATGCAAACACTTCTTATATACCCATGCAAACCCACCACTGTCCAACCGCTCACCAGTGTGGTGACCCCTGACCCCACTGGCGTCTGGCGGTCTGCTGTTGACGGTTTGTTTACTTGGTTCAAGGTTTCAATAAATCGCGTTATTTTTTTTTTATTTTTTTTTTTGGTAGCAGTAGCAGTGGTAGCACTGCTGATGGATGATGGACTGACATTCATGGGGCGGAGGACTTTTTATCAGCTCACAACTTAATATCACGAATATGACAACCTTCTAATCCTCCATTTATTTCACATTTTCTTTTCAAACACCATATTTTTAGTATTCAAGTTGTAGTTTTTTTAGGGGGGACAAAAAGATATGTTTGCCCAGAGGTTTTCCGTTTAGGGGGGGCAATTGCCCATTTTGCCCCAACGTGGATCCGCCACTGGGTCGATTTTTGAAAGCGGAAAATCCATCAACTCCGCAGCCCTGGCCATGCGTGCGAAAAGAAAAAAATATAATTTAAAAGAAATATGTTGTGTTCGGTCTGTGCGCACTGCGCTGCCATCACAC